GACATCAGCTGATGAATCATCCTTCGTTGGCATAGATGGTATGTCTGCAACATGTAGTGAGTTTGTCATGATGTCGTAACTAGTTCTGTAACATTGTTGTTTCGCAGGTATAATTGTTCCTAATGGAGTTCTGGGCTTTAACCATATATCACTTTCTGTCATATTTGTCACTGTTATACAAGATCTTCCACATTTTGTGTCTATAAAGCCAGGACTTATTTGTAAGTTTCCAGGTAATGGAGAAGTAAGTTTTTCAACAATTCCTGTTCCTCTGAACGATCCTGTCGAAACATCAACATTCACATTAGATCCTGCTGGAATAAACTTCTCTTCTGGTCCAGAACATCTTACAAATTGAGATTTTTCACTGTCCTCCGATTTCTTGTACAGATGCGCAAAACTTGGTAAGTGTTGTAGGATATTAGAGCCAATGATGAATGTACTTGGTTCATGACCCTCACAAACCATGATGGATGTCTCAAGTTGTACATTGTCCACGGTTACAGTTGTGATTAAAGAACCGATGTAGGGGATTCCCGAACCATTAGCACTTGTTATTTTAATCCATTTGTCCTTGTAGAGATTTGATTCATGTTCAAAATTTTGTTTGAAAAAATCGTGTGACATTAAGGTAACACTTGAGCCAGTGTCATAAATTCCAGTTGTCGTGACATCTCCAATTGTGATAAGTGTTGAAGGGGTATTCTTGACTGTTTTGGACAGATAAGATGAACGGTCTTTACTGATATCAGTCCCATCTTGGCCGTCATTCATGAAGGGACTCTGGCGTTTCCCAGATCATGAGCATTTAAATTAAATTGTCGTTGATTTGACTGTGTCGTTTGTCTGCCTCTAAATTGTCCTCTTTGTGGTCTTCTTCCATTAAATTGTCCTCTATGACTTCTCTGTGGATACGAATAGTCGTTTCTGTTTTCATACTGGAATTGATTGTTGGCGTTCTGCTCCATTATCATTTGTTGTCCTTTCTCCAATCGATTAATCTTCTCAGTCATTGTTTTCATATTATCTTGCATGGATGTGATTGCAGACTTGAATTCATCTAATTGTGAGGTTATCTGTGTGAATACTGGATCCTTTTCTTGGACACTGTAGGACTTTTCTTTCCTTGAGTGATGTTCAGACTCTTCATTTTTTCTGTTTTCATTATCTTCGTACTCTAAAGCAATGTGGCGTAATTTCTGAAACGGTGGATTAGGGTGGTCATCCTCATACTTCTTTAGTTCCCATCTCAAGTGTGGATCATTAAGATTTTCTGTAAGTTGATGACACAAGAGTTCATTTTCATTTGGAACTGTTCTATGTTGTTTTATTATGTCCATCAATCTAAGAAGTTCCTGTGTAAAACTTTTCACTGATTGATCTTTCTTTTGAGCAGTAGTGTAGAATTTCCTAAATGTTTGGCTTGCGGAAAATTCTCTTCCATAGACTTCCTTCAGTGTTCTGAATATGTTCCTAGTTGTCAAAGGTTCAATATAGTGTACTTCACGTCTAGCTGGTGCTTCTAGATGTTCAAGTAGAAAGTCAACCTTTTCCTCATCATCATCAAGTTTCTTGATTGCCAATTCAGCGTCTTCAACCCAGTCCCAAATATCAGTGGTTTCTGGTTTTCCTGAGAAGTTTCCTAATTTTGGCCTTTTAGGGAATTTTATTTTTTGTACTGGTATTGTTGGCTTCTTTTCAATTTCCATAAATTGGCTGAATCTTTGACTCAATTTCCTCAATCTCAGTAATTCCTCCTTCATGTTTTCAAATTCAGTCGGGTCATAATATTTTTCTTGTTCCAAGTCCTCTTCTTCCTCCTTTGGATTAGCTTTTTTGGGCGGCATTGTGATTTGAATAGCCTCCGGAAAAAATCGCGATAAAATATCAAACACGAAATTAAAAATATATGCCACAGAATTAAAATCACAAAGTGTGATATGATGTAAATACTGGTAGAGTTAAAATCACTAAGTGTGATATGATATTAAATATATTGGCAAAATGTAATAATTATTTACCAATAGATGTCAGTAATGTATACCAACACAATAAAGCTTGGCAATTTATAGTATGCTATATCTGCAAACCAATAGATGGCAGATAATTATATATGTTGCATCAATAGATGTCACCCAAATAGTTTACATGGATAGATATTATCCTTATATAACCCTGTATACCAATAGATGGCATGTATATTGTATACACCTAAGTCAATGATCAACCATAGGATGCTATTGTAATTATAGATGTCACACTTATAATTGACATGGGTAGATGGTACCTCATAAATGTTATCTGATAAAGATAGATGTCACCCTAGTATGTGGGAGTATTGTGTACGCAATGTGGCAATGTTCATGCACACTAATATAATTATAGGTCACCACGAAAGTGTAAACACTCAATGTCAGTAATCACTCAAGCATATAACAACAAGAGTTCTAATACAAATATTGGCAAAGTATTACCAGTTGGTGTTCAATAAATGCTAATTTTTTCCAAAGTTTATTGTTTCAACACAGTATGCTTTTTATAAGCCATTCATCAGTGTTTTAAAGCTACAGGTGGTTGAGTTTTTTATCATGGTTAACTGAATAGCTTGACCTTGAACAATTGCCAATATATAACCTGACTTTGTTTTGATTGAAAAATCTAAAGTTCATGATTCTAACTTTTCCACCAATATAAGAGATATGAAATAGAGATTTCAAAATTAGGCTGTTTTGAGTATCACTTCTGCTTCTGCCTGTTGTAGATTATATACTGTAGACTGTAGACGATTGTATAACCATGTAGATCCTATAATTGTATAACTTGATTCCTGTAGATTCCTTGCAGTACAGTTTGTTTACCCATGTAGCAGTAACACTTCTTGTATACCCGCAGTACCATTTGTATACCCGCAGTACCATTTGTATACCCGCAGTACCATTTGTAGTGGTGGCTTAAAGTGGCTAGTATGATATGCGATATGCGTCACATAAGATCATCTTAGATTTAAAATGGTTTATTGTAATCAGCCAGACATAGACACAGACAGACAGCCTGTAAAAGTACAAATTACAACATTTTGGGTATGGATAAAATTACCAATGCAGAAATAGAATACGTAACATATCATCCCTGAATCAACACACAGTTACATAAAAGTGGTAATAAATAGCTTAGATATTTGGCATTGAACATTGTGCATATGCGCATTTCAAACAACAATGTGCATTTCAATGACCATCTACATTATGCAGAATAAGCTAGAAATATATACCATTATTACATAAATGACCAAATGTATCCTGTGAATACAACTACAGTGTATCTCTAATATAGAAGCAATTACGCTATCTTATATGAGAAAATGAGAAATGCAATATAAATGCAATATTCAAAGTGAAATGCATATTCTCTAAAATATATATGCTTACCCTATGGGCTAACTGTATACAGCTGTGGTTGATTGGATGGTTGATTGATATGTATCTGCTATAACATTGTTGCCTTGAATAAAGTAATACCCAAAATGTAAATGTCTGTTTACAAAATATAGATTTTGTTCACAAAGTTGACAAGTTTCTAAAATTACAATTTCAAGTTCATATTTCTATCGAAACATCTAATAATTTATATGTACATGAACCTTGTAATATCTACTTTATGAATATGAATGTAATTAATCTCTAGGGTTATTATATCAATTAAAAATATTACAAAATATGGGATAATTTCTCACCAAGTCTTCCTCCATTATGTGTTTATCCAATCAACAAATCTGATTGGTTGAAAAGTAAAAAGTACGCCAAATTATTAGGGAGCATACAATATTGCATAATTAATGAGAGCAATTGGCAAAAAAAGTACGCCAAATTATTATGGAGCATACAATATTGCATAATTAATGAGAGCAATTGATGCTTAAAAATGAACAGTTAAATACCCTATTTACATACATTTTATTTTGGAAAAGTAACAAATTGGTTCAATTTCTTTACAAAGAGCCACTCTTAGTCTCCACTTCTACAATTGCTTCAATTCCCAATTGTACTCCACAGAGTAGCAAACAACAGAAAATGAATGGATAATGATAGCTGCATCCCAATGAACAAAATGTGATTACCTAAATCGAGGTTTCATCACTTTCATTAATCTAAAATGAATTAGAAATTATTTTTCTACTTTCAAATTTCTTCCATGTGCATGTAATAAAAATTGGTTATGTCTTAGGCCCTAGCTAGGGATCTGAAACCTGCTGGTCAAAATGGAATTACGGACCAGTTGCAATGTTATTCTCCTATACCCAGTGAAAAAATCAACTGGTCTGTATCAAAAATAACCTGATAATGAACAGCGGACCGGCCCCTAGGGGCTACATTGTAATGTGACGAGGTTTAGGCTGCAGGGTTTATACCGAGGGAAATATGTTGGGGACCGTATTGGCATCATTGGTTTCAATGTATTGTACTTCTGCCTTAGTTTCAAAGGCAATAAATTCTTTTTGAAGGGTGTCCTGAGATTCCCAAATTAAGAAATAATTGTACTTATTTGAGAAATTGATTTTAAAGTTTTATAAATTGAATTTTCTTTCTTTTATTAAATAATATTCTTTGGTTTTTGAAGATGCATATTGGATTGTTATAACTCCAAGTTTTGCAAGTCACATGACCAATTCTTAGAGAGTTGATTGGTTGAAACAGTTGAATATCAGATATGACAATTTGAAATTAGAAATAAGCTGTTATTCTGGTGGGAAATTGTATCAACTCCATTTCCATAGTTTTAAAAAAGGATCTTGTAAATTGTTTCAAGGTATGATATTTCATATAAGATATCTCTAGGGTGAGACCAGGTGACATACAAAAAATCAAGTTTCACATAGCAATACTAAGTAAGATACAGACCTCTAAACTTTCAAACCTTGATTTCTCAGTTCCGTAAAAATGTGAGATAGTACAAAGTTATTCTCATGCGACGACATTTTAGAGGCATTTCTTATATTATAGACGTCAACTACAGGCTGCCTTCTGTAAGGAGAGAGACTGGGACCAATACCACACTCCACGTAATATTCTCCTGGCTCTAGTGGGAGAAGTTGGGGAAGTTTCAGAAATATTGTAAGTACAATTTCATATGGGCCTACAGGGCGACCCAAGAAATGAACCCAAAAATGTGCATGTAAAAAAATTAACTGATATTCTGTAACAACCTGTTGATTCACATGTTATTTAAATTCACATGTCATTCGAATTTCACATGTTGTCTGGATCATCTCAAGAAATGAACATTAGTCTTACATCTAGCCGTATTTGATTCTTTTACCCATCTGTGGCAACGTTGTTTGTCATCTCTCTTTTCCTTGTTGTCACCTCAGTTTGCTAGCTTACCCTTTTGTTTGCCATCTTACCCATGTACCCTGTTTGCCAGCTTACCCTTTTGTTTGCCATCTTACCCATGTACCCTGTTTGCCAGCTTACCCTTTTGTTTGCCATCTTATGTATCCTGTTTGCCAGCTTACCCTTTTGTTTGCCATCTTACCCATGTACCCTGTTTGCCAGTTTACCATTTGCCACCTTACCCTTTATTAGCTTTTATTGATTGCCACTGTCGCATTTTTAGTTTTCATCTTACTATTTTACTCCTCTTTCAGTCAGTGGAAAGGAGAGGTTCCAGTTGGACTTCCAGGATTTAGTAATAAAGAAAAGGCTCATCTAGCGCAGGAACTTAGTGATGTTCTAGTCTATCTGGTGCGGCTTGCACATATATGTCATATTGACCTTCCTAGTGCCGTAATTGAAAAACTTCAGCTTAATAAAGAAAAATACCCTGTTGAGTTAGTATATGGGAAAAGCAAAAAGTATAATGAATATCAAGAAAATGAAAATATAACAGAAGACAATGCACAGAACCACATAACAAATGGGACAATAAACAGCACAGTAAACTGCACAATAAACAATTCAGAAAACAGCACAAAGAATAACAATACAGAAAACAATATTGGAGAGAGCACAAGCAATAGTAAAAAGGCTGGTACAGCAAATAGTGATTCTTCAAAATCTGAACTTCCTTCAGACCCCTTGGATTTCAGATTCTCTGATGAACCTAGTTTGGAGAAAATGTGAGTTTTTGCAAATTTGAGATGACTTTCCCATTATTCCTTATATATCTACTAGACCTATCAGTTAGTTGTATTATTTTGAACCATCCATCTCCCTTCATGTATCCATAGATCAGCTTGCATTATGAGTGATCTTCCGAGAACTGCAATAGCTTTGTAATGGGGGGGGGGGGGGGTGAAGTATTGAGATATATTTTGACCAAAACATGTAAAAATAGGATTTAGAAACCTATTGAGAAAAGTCTGTATCTGTACATTGTACAATTTTCTTGTTGAAAAATATAGACCTGGCAAGTTAATTGCCCTGCATTGTCTTATGTATCAGATGCTGGCACAGTTTTGCCGGAAGTTTGCAAGAAGTAACTTTTGGCAATGCAGTATGTTAGAGTAACCTAGAAGGTGTAAGAAAATATAAGGTGATGGCCTTTAAAGTGGTAAAAACAATTTTCACGGCCGAATTGGACTTCAATTTCTGCGATTTCAGGGGGTACTATACGACTATTTTATAACATAAAGGATATAGTTGCTATTGTTCTGCTTTCTACAGCACACATTACTAGTCCAAAGATGAATAATATCCTAAAGTTATAGGCCGATTTCTGTATTAGTCTCAGAAATATTGCAATTAATAGGAAAAAATACGCAATTTTAGTCATTTTTAAGTCTCACATATCTTATATTTGTAGCTTCCAGCAAAAGATGGCAGCTTAAATAGCTCAAAATTGTTTTCTAAAAACTAATTCAAGCTTTGTTTGATATTGTAATACAATTATAATAATGATAATGTACTATTTATGATTTTTAATATGACTTTATAGTACCCTACCCCTGGAAAGTGGGCGTGGTCAATGTTATCATTTTGCAGCATACAATTAAAAACTTGTATTGATAGAAAGCAAATCAATGCATATAAAACATTTTCACTTGTTACTTGACAATGTAATTCATTTATTATTAAAATATAGGACTCTACTTATTTTATATATACAATTTCAATTTTGTACACTGTATCATAATGAAATCTAATAGGCTGTTTCAATTTACAAACTTTTTCTCGGATCACCCTTACCTTTTGACAAAATGATCTACTATATGACCAATAGCCACAAAAAATAGCAGAACTGATCAACGTTTAAACCCCCCCCCCCCTCCCCTACCCCTATGTTTGTTTTGTATGGGGTCCCCCACAATGCAACAAGTCCATTTTCAGTGCTTACTATCACATGGAATATAAGTCACAATGTTTCCACAATATCTGGGCAATGAGATAGTGCCATTAAGAATATGTATGCCCAGATTCAAGATCATGATGTAAATGCTTGCAGATCTATCAGCTTTCAAAAATGAGGAAAGCTGTCTTGAGTGCCGTTTCAACTAATTTTGAATTAAAACTGCTACTTATGAATTTTTTTCTCAACAACTGTGATTTGGTTAGAGTCCAAACACAGGAGATCAAGACATAGTGCTACCAAATTCTGGTATTGAAAATTTCAGAGCTCTAGATCAAGTATTCATATCTGCATGGACTCTTAAAAAGACCCAAAAGACACAAAATGCAGTCAGATATCGCGAAAAAATGTGACAAAATGCACTATTCAGAACAATTTATCTCTTAAATTTTACTTTTATTTACCATAATTTCTGATTCTGCCTCTAGTTAGTTATACCAATAATACATATGAGTAGACTTAAGGTCATAGTAAGTGTAGTTACAGATTTATTAGCATCTAAAAATGGGAGAAGCAGTGTAGCAAGTGCAATTTTCATCTATAATTCATAATATTAAACTGCAGCTTTCAGGATTTTCTTTTCTAAAACAAGAATTCGGTGAGATCCCAAAAGACAGGATTCCATATCACTGTACCACCAAATAAATATGAGAGTAGTTTTAGGAGGTTATATCAAATAATCATTGGATCATTGACACCTAAAAATATGCAAAATACAGTCAGAAATGGTGAAATTGTGATTGTGAAAAAATGTATGTATTCTTAACAATTTTTTAACTAAACTGTATTTTATTTAGAACTGAAACTTGAAGTGCTTACTAGGAGTTACATCTAGTTATTATTTTTTAAGTGACTTCAGCATCCGGATTGATATAATATAGGAATATCCTATGGTCAGTGTTGTCATTAACAGCCGGTCCACTGGTCATTATCTGGTTACTTTTGATACGGACCAGTTGATTTTTTCACTAGGTATAGGAAAATAACATTGCAGCTGGTCCGTAATATCATTTTGACCAGCAGGTTTCAGCCCCTTAGTGTCTACACTGCCTATGGTGAAGATATTTGTATCCATGAGTGGATATAATTGATATTTTTGAAAAAAAAATTATTTATCCCATGGGAAATCATCATCAGCGAAAAAATGTGAAAAATATAATTCAAGAAAAAATTAAAAAAAATAATTGAAAAAAAATTGTGAAAAAATGTTTTTTAAAATAATTAAAAAATGTAAAAAGAATTTTTTTTTTGAAAAATTCGAAACCATGGAATATCACTTTTCAAACCACCGAATATCACTTTTTAAGACGTGATATTCGATAGTTTAAAAGTGATATTCGATGGTTTGTGAATTTTTTGCTAAAATATTATAACTTGATCCACATATCAAATATATCTTCATGTGATATTCGATCTATATCCTTGCAACCATGGGATAATCACTGATATGCTTAAGACCAAAAAACCTATAAAGAATGTTATTATTGAATACTGAGAATACATTGTTTTTACATTACGGAGCTTTATTTCTACCTGAAAGTATTTTGGAACATATCTCTTGCTTAAATATTTCATGCAATGTTACTTTCAAAAACTTTCTTAGAACAATTAGTCAATCCTATACTTTCACATCTTATTCTCCATTTCGTTTTTAAAAATTGTGGGAGCTTTAAACTCTAGGAGAGCTTAATTACCAATTATACCATGCACCCTCTTTGCCCTCCTTCGCATTTTTGTTAGGATGGCCAGGCATATTTCAAATTGAAGAGTAAAGTCAGTTAAAGTGATATATAGCTGTATATAACAACGTATCTTTCACTTGATACTGTGATGTCAAGCTAAGCATTCAAACAGTGTATTTTGTCCCAAGATACAATAAAGTACTCATTTCATTTATTTATCAATTCAGATGCCTTGGAATTAAAGTAAACACTTGGTATATATTACCAATATTATGTTTACCTATTATTGGTGGTACAATGACCAGGTTTCCTTTAATGTCTTTGGTCTTACTGTGCAGTTTGTAAAAAGAAAATTCAGAAAGTTGCAGTCTTAGATGAAAAACTGGTGAAAATCATACTTGCTACAGCTTTTCCCATTTTCAGAAGCCAATAGATCTGTACTTCCACTTACTATGACGTTAAGTCTTCTCATATGTATTATTGGTGGTACTAACTGGAGGCAGAATCAGAAATTATGTCAAATAAAAGTAACATTTAAGAGATAAATTGTTCTGAATAGTGCATCTTTCATATTTTTCACAATATCTGACAGGTTTTTTGTCCTTTTGCCTCTTTTTAAAAGTACATGCAGAAGTGAATATTTGATCTAGAGCTCTGAAACTTCCAATATCAGAACTTGGTAGCATTATGTCTTGGTATCTTATGTTTGGGGTCTAAAAAAGTCACAGATGTTGAGAAAAATATTCATTAAGCAGCAGTTTCAGTTCAAAGTTAGTTAAAACTGCACTCACGACAGCTTTCTCTATTTTTGAACGCCGATAGATCGGTAAGTATTAGTATTAGGACCTTGAAACTGCTCATATTATGTAGTCTTTGTGGTACTTTCTCATTGCCAAGGTAATTTGGAAACACTGTGACTTACATTTCATGCGTTAGTGAACACTGAAAATGAACCAGCCTATTAGATTTCATCATGATACATTGTACAAAATTGAAAACGTATATATAAAATATCCTATATTTTAGTAATGAATGAATTACAATGTCAAGTAACAAGTGAAAATGTTAAAAATGCATTGATTTGCTTTCTATCAATATAAGTTTTTAATTGTATGCTGCAAAATGATAACATTGACCACGCCCACTTTCCAGGGGTAGGGTACTATAAAGTCATATTAAAAATCATAAATAGTACATTATCATTATTATAATTGTATTACAATATCAAACAAAGCTTGAATTAGTTTTTAGAGAACAATTTTGAGCTATTTAAGCTGCCATCTTTTGCTGGAAGCTACAAATATAAGATACGTGAGACTTAAAAATGAATAAAATTGCATATTTTTTCCTATTAATTGCAATATTTCTGAGACTAATACAGATATCGGCCTATAACTTTAGGATATTATTCATCTTTGGACTAGTAATGTGTGCTGTAGAAAGCAGAACAATAGCAACTATATCCTTTATGTTATGAAATAGTCTTATAGTACCCCCTGAAATCGCAGGAATTGAAGTCCAATTCGGCCGTGAAAATTGTTTTTACCACTTTAAAGGCCATCACCTTATATTTTCTTACACCTACTAGGTTACTCTAACATACTGCATTGCCAAAAGTTACTTCTTGCAAACTTCCGGCAAAACTGTGCCAGCATCTGATACATTATGGAAATAAAGTATTTAGAACTCAATTAAAAAGGCAATGAATAAAAAAACATGAGTATTTTTTCCAGCTTTGATAATTGCAGAAAAAATGTTGATATGAATCTACAAATGCTGCAAGTTATGAATTTAAAATATTTAAAAAAAATGTTACATTTGAATACGATAATCTGCAAGATTTCTCTTATTAGTGAGACCAAATCAACCCAAGTTACAGTACAGTAAAACCTGTCTAATCAGATTAGACAGGTTTTACTGTACTGTCACATTTCAAATTGGGGTTGAGAGATGTTCAGATCGGAGAGGTGTTTGAATGCATCATTTGAGCCAGGCCACAGGAAAAGGGGTCTTATCACAGATTTTTTCAATATTCTGATTTTTTTGTTAATCTTAAAAAGCACAAAGGACCCATGGCTGTCCTAACAATTTTTCCTTGCATATATAGACCAAAAAGTCGAATCTGAATTTAGCACATTTTCCTCTATTAAGTGTGGGCACATTATGGGCTCTGTAGCACAATTTTAATTTTTGTGATAAGACCAGTTTTCCTATGGCCAGGCTCATTTTCAGTACATACATTTTTTAGACATTTCTTATCTTGTAGACGTCAACTACAGGCTGCCTTCTGTAAGGAGAGAGACTGGGACCAATACCACACTCCACGTAATATTCTCCTTGCTCTAGTGGGAGAAGTTGGGGAAGTTTCAGAAATATTGTAAGTACATTTTCATATGTGCCTACAGGGTGACCCAGAAAATGAACCCAAAAATATGCATATGAAAAAAAATTAACTGATATTTTGTAACAACCTGTTGATTCACATGTCATTCGAATTTCACATGTTGTCTGAATCATCTCAAGAAATGAACATTAGTCTTACATCTAGCCGTATTTGATTCTTTTACCCATCTGTGGCAACGTTGTTTGTCATCTCTCTTTTCCTTGTTGTCACCTCGGTTTGCCAGCTTACCCTTTTATTTGCCAACTTACCCATGTCCCCTGTTTGCCAGCTTACCCTTTTATTTGCCAACTTACCCATGTCCCCTGTTTGCCAGCTTACCCTTTTGTTTGCCATCTTACCCATGTTCCCTGTTTGCCAGCTTACCCTTTTGTTTGCCATCTTACCCATGTACCCTGTTTGCCAGCTTACCCTTTTGTTTGCCAGCTTACCCTTTTGTTTGCCAGCTTACCCTTTTATTTGCCAACTTACCCATGTCCCCTGTTTGCCAGCTTACCCTTTTATTTGCCATCTTACCCATGTACCCTGTTTGCCAGCTTACCCTTTTGTTTGCCAGCTTACCCTTTTATTTGCCAACTTACCCATGTCCCCTGTTTGCCAGCTTACCCTTTTGTTTGCCATCTTACCCATGTACCCTGTTTGCCAGCTTACCCTTTTGTTTGCCAACTTACCCTTTTGTTTGCCATCTTTCCCATGTACCCTGTTTGCCAGCTTACCCTTTTGTTTGCCAACTTACCCATGTACCCTGTTTGCCAGCTTACCCTTTTGTTTGCCATCTTACCCATGTACCCTGTTTGCCAGCTTACCCTTTTGTTTGCCAACTTACCCTTTTGTTTGCCATATTTCCCATGTACCCTGTTTGCCAGCTTACCCTTTTGTTTGCCAACTTACCCATGTACCCTGTTTGCCAGTTTACCATTTGCCACCTTACCCTTTATTAGCTTTTTTATTGATAGCCACTGTCACATTTTTAGTTTTCATCTTACTATTTTACTCTTTGTTTGCAGTCAGTGGAAAGGAGAGGTTCCAGTTGGACTTCCAGGATTTAGTAACAAAGATAAGGCTCATCTAGCGCAGGAACTTAGTGATGTTCTATTCTATCTGGTGCGGCTTGCACATATATGTCACATTGACCTTCCTAGTGCAGTAATTGAAAAACTTCAGCTTAATAAAGAAAAATACCCTGTTGAGTTAGTATATGGGAAAAGCAAGAAGTATAACGAGTACCAAGAAAATGATACTACTCAAAAGTGATGTACTAGTGATACATTTTAGATATTTGCATTCAGGATTATGGTTTTCTGGAGAAAAATTTGCTGGATTAAATTTAGTATTGAAAAAGTAAAGCATAAAGAAAATGTATGACATTTCTCCAAAGTGATGTAACCGGGGATTGATTTAAAATGATATTGGCATTGATGATTATGGTTTTCTGTAGAAATTACTGGATTAATTAAAGTGTTATGAGAAATGCAAAAAGTATAGAGTTTCAAGAAAATGCAAATGCCTAGGCTAGTTTGCATTCACGAATTAATGCAAGTTTCAGCTACAGGAATAACCTACTATTTTATGACCAACTCATTTAAATTTGAATGGAATAGTGGCAAGTACTTTTCAGATTAAAATGAGTTGCCCATAAAATAGTAGGTTAATCGAGTAGCTGATGGACATTACATGTAGTTGCAATCGTGAATACAAGCTGTGTGTTTTGTTGGGGATAATTTATGCCATAAGCATTCTATTACATGTAATGTATCTAGTTATTAGCATGTAAACCCTACAAATAGGGTCAATTATGACACAATAAATGAGACAAATCTATAATTTTGTATTTTTGTATATATATTTTTTTTTACTGGGTCTATACAGTACTAGAGTATTATAACAGGTTACCAGAGTTTCACACCTTACAATTTATTTGGCATGAGGTTTTATTTAAAGCACTTAAAAATGAATGTCCATGTTTTTAAGTGAGACGATCATAAAAAAGCGGAAATATTGATAACTTGGGTAAGTGGTGCATGCTCGCTTACCAGTTTGATTTTCAGTGATGAAAGCATATGAAAACTTCATACCTTGGTAATCCATGATTTAAGTTGTGTAAATTCCAAGGAAAACATATCAGACAGAAATAAAGATGGCAGCACTGAATAATTTGTCTATATCTTCTCTGACACTCATTACACGGTGTCACTCCCAAAACCATGATCCAACGTGAAAAGAAACAATATCTAACATCTCCCTCCCCCCTCCAATCGAGAACCAATATCACAATCCAGGACCAGAACACCAAGGGACATTTCATTCATACTGAATTCATTACAATACACGTTGAAGAAAAATTGAAAAATTGAAAAAATTGATAGCCAATACTCATAACATCAAAAATAGTTGTAGATACTATTCTAGTACTCATAAAATATAGAGTATTCAGTCTCAAATAATGTGGGATAGAAAATGATTTTGATTTCAAAAAGAGATTTTGTACCTTATGGATGTATAAAATTCTGAGATTTCAGGAGTGATTTGTTAGTAGTAGTCTATTAGACTAGTAGTGGTGTATAAGACTTCTGGGAGTGATGTGTTAGTGGTCTATTAGTGATATTTGAGACTTCAGGAGTTATGTATAAGTGGTCTATTAGTGATGTATTAGTAGTGTATTACATGCTCTCTGAGTGAACAATCCAAAAACCCCTAAAAACAATAAGAGAAAGGATAGAGGATCAAATGGACAAACCCCACAATCAACAGAAAAAGACCCAAAAACGGGGAAATTCAATGAAACAGAATCTCAGTAAAATGAGAAACACTTAAGATTCATCAAAATTGATGATGTACATAGTTATCGACATTGTATATATTTTTGAGGACACAATATATGAAAATATGATTTTTGTGGTTATATATAATGTACATAAGAAATTACATAATGCATGCATATGTATATATAATGGTTAAAATAATTTTTTTTAAAAAGCATGCAAGGCCAATAGTGGCAAAGTATAAAATTCAAATATGAATATGACAAACACGTATAGATTTTTAACTTTAAATGTAAGAGGGTTAAATGATGCAACTGAAAGAGTAAAGCTAAAGCTTTGGTTAAACACACAAAAAACGGACATTATTTTCTTTCAAGAAACATTTTGCATTGATGATAGTGAGAAAGACATAAATGATACTTTTTCAGACTTTAAAATGATAAATGACCTCACAGATTCAAAACACTCAAGAGGAGTAGCAATATTAGTTGCTGAAAAATTAAATGCAAAGATATTAAATGTTATAAAAGGAAATGATGGGCGAAAAATTATGGCAAACATTGAACTAAATGATACTATTTTAAGTTTGGTTTCTGCATATGCTCCTAATGAAATAAATGCGAGAAATAGTTTTTTGGAGAATTTGAGCTCATGGGTATCAAACAACTCACATCCTAATGGTAACATTATAATAGGGGGAGATTTTAATTGTTGTTTAAAAGAATCAGATAGATATCCAATTAACCAGAAAAATAAAGTTGATAAAAGTAGGTTATTTTTAGAAAAATTAGTTGAATATAATGAATTGAAAGATATATGGGAAAACAAAAAAGATGGGTTCACATATTATGTGAAAAATTCGAAGAGTAAAAGTAGAATTGATTACATTTTTTTAGCTCAAAATAACATTTTAAATGCAAAGAAAAGTTACATTGTCCAAGTCCTGAAAAAAGATCACAAGGCAATAATAGCAGATATAAAAATAGCATCTAGACAGAGAGGTAAAGGGTATTGGAAATTGAACAACAGTTTACTCAATGAAGAAACTTATGTAAGACAGATAGTTGATTATATAAAATGGATAAAGCTAAATAAAAACAGATACAAATCTAAAAGAGTATTATGGGAAGTAATGAAATGCAAAATTAAGAAAATTTCAATTTCATATGCAGTATATAAAAGTAAAGCACAAAAAGATGAAAAAATAGATTTACAAGCCAGAATAGATAATTTAAATAAGTATTCTGATAGGATTAACAATGACACTTTAAAAGAAAAAATAAAAGAAAAAAGGGATGAAATGGTTAACAGTTTAGATCAAATATATCAAAAAGAGGCTATAGGATATTTTATTAGATCAAGGGCAAAATGGATGGAAGAAGGAGAAAAAAGTACCCCGTATTTTTTGAGATTAGAAAATAAAAGACAGAAAATGAATGTTATTCATAAATTAAAAACAAAATCTGGGTTAATTACAAATGATAATGATATTTTAGAAGAAGCCGCAAGATTCTATGAAGTTCTGTATAAATCAAATAGGGTTAATAATGAAAACATACGTGAATATATTGATGATACCGAATTTAAACGAACACTTTCACAAGAAGAAAAAAATATATTAGAACGTGACATCACTAGAAATGAACTGAAACATGCCGTAGAAAAACTTAAACTCAACAAAAGTCCTGCACTAGATGGCCTCACTCCTGAGTTTTATAAACATTTTTGGAACGATATTGAAGATATATTTTATGAAATGGTCAAAGAAACTTTTATAGAAGGGGAACTCTGTGAATCAATGAAACTTGCAATTCTTAGTCTAATTTTCAAAAAAGCGGACAATGAAATATTACCAAATTATAGACCAATTAGCTTAACAAACTATGATTATAAAATAATAGCTTTTACACTAACTAATCGAATAAAATCTCTGGTTAAAAAATTAGTAGGAATAAATCAGTCCGCTTATATTGAAGGGAGATTCATTGGTACAAACGCAAGATTTTTAATTGATATTATTGACTATATAAATGATGAAAATATGAATGGAATATTGATAAGTCTTGATTTCAAAAAAGCTTTTGACAGTCTAAATTGGAACTTTATGCATAATGTACTTGAAAAAATGAATTTTGGTGAAAATTTCCGAAGATGGGTCAAAATACTTTATAAAGATCCGAAATTAATGATAAAAAATAACGGTTTCTTGTCAAGGGAAGTACAAATTGAAAAAGGTATAAGGCAAGGATGTCCGCTATCAGCTTTATTATTTATTTTATGTACAGAAATATTGGCAAATAAAATAGAAAAAAATAATAGAATACAAGGAATAAACATAAATGAAAATGAAACTAAAGTTATCCAACACGCTGATGATACAACAATTATATTAAGAGATAAAGATTCAATACAAGTTGTTTTAGAAGAGATAAATAAGTTTTCTGAACTAAGTGGTTTAAATTTAAATCTAGATAAAACACAGGGAATATGGCTGGGAAGATATTGTAATGAAAAAGAAAATTTTGAAAACATACACTTCACAAATGAACCAATAAAAATCTTAGGAGTCTACATTGGAAATAATACTGCAAAATGTGAAGAACTTAATTGGAACCCTAAGATACTAGAATTTGAAAAACTTTTTGAATCCTGGAAAAAAAGAAAATTAACAATCTTTGGTAAAGTCCAGATAATAAATGTTTTAGCAATTTCAAAATTAGTATACAATTTTTCTATACTTAACATACCAGAAACAATTATAAAGAAAATAAATGATATCATTTTTAAATTTTTATGGAAAGGCAATAGAATAAAAAGAAAAACATTAATAGGGAAAATTGAAAATGGTGGACTCGGAATAGTTGACATAGAACCTGAGATAGCATCAATAAAAGCCAGTTGGGTAAAAAGATTATTCTCTGATAATACTGCATGGAAATATATACCTCTATACTATATTGATAAATGTGGCTTTAAAGCTCAGGATTTTATCAAAACAACATTTACAAGAGATATCAAGATCAAAATGCCTAAATTTTATAAAGATATGTTTATTGCTTTTAATAAGTGTAAAATACAAAACACAAATGAACAAAATTTACTGACTGAAACATTTTGGCTAAATGAAAAATTTAAGAATAAAAAGGGTGGAGTATTCTACAGTAATAATTGGGTGAAAAGTGGCTTTGTTTACATTAAGGATTTCTTTACAGAAAATGGTCATTTTGTAGATGAAATGTATATAATAAATAAGCTAATAAAAAAGCAAAATTGGATGATAGAATACATCAAGATAAAAACTTTTATAAATAGAATAACAAAAAATGTGAAAACAGAAATGGCAAATTATATGAATATAAAGAAAAGTATTACATTCTTAATGAAGAACAATAAATGGATAAATGTACAAAAGATAACCAGCAAGTTAATATATGAAATACTTTTACAGGAGAAACAGGAAAGAACAATCATGGAGAATCACTGGAAACGTGTTTTCAACACCCCAAATGATATATCATTTTATAAAAAGGTTTATCGATCGAAAATCATAAATATGCTCAATAGAAAACATGCAGAATTTAATTTTAAAATTTTTCATAATATCTTAACTTGTGGAAACACACTATATAAATGGAATAGAGAAATAAGTCAATATTGTTACAAATGTAAAGAAATACAAACTCCAAAACACTTGATTTTAGAATGTAATTTAGTAAAAGATATATGGAAAAAAATTGAAAGAATTTTGAAATGTAACCTGAGTTGGAAATATTTTATATTAGGTTTTTACCTGTTAGAAGGAGATGTAGCTTTTTTCAGAAATACAGTTATAACAATAGTAGGATACACGATATATTCAAAATGGGTCAACTTTTCAAACAATTTTGAAAAATACAAAGAAACAAATTTCCTTTCTCTGATTGTGTGTAAATTAAATTTCTTTATTGAAAGGTTAAATACTTCAAAGAATAACAGAATATTAAGGTTAAAAGAAAGACTAAAATGTTTTACTGAAAAATTACAAAATCCAAATATATAAGAATATGTGTACATTATCTAAAATATTTTTGATTTAGAACATCCATATATATTAATATTGTACATTGATCTCTCACATATTTTTGTAAATTGTAATCCATGCCTTGTATATATGTTTAAGAAATAAAATTTATTAAAAAAAAAAAAAAAAAAAAAAAATGCTCTCTGATTGGTCAATAATTTTTATCTCATTTGCATGGTAATTTTTTCAACTAATAAACAATCTGTTAAGTCAATGGCAAAAAGTGGTCTGTTAACAAAAATCACCACTAACAAATAACATGTTCTACTAATTGAGTATTAGTAGTCTATTAGTGGTTTATTAGACTGGTATGGCAAGCTGTTTTTTTCACTTGGGCACAGCTTTACTTTGGAGAATGAGCATTGATAATCATAACAACGGTGTATCTATTGCCATGTTGTTGATGTGTGATGTAAATCTCATCTTGCACATGCAACTTTTTAGGATGAAAGATGGCGATATCTTGCATGGGGTTAAGATGGCTGTATCTTTGATAGCCATATGAGAAAAAGGGATAGTCTATATCTAGTTTAGCATGTGAGTATTGGACGGGTTGAGAAAGACCAAAGTACTCAAATTGCATCCGGCAGATTTGAATTCAGGGACACCCTAAATATACTGAAATGTTACAAATACAGCATGCATCCAAAATTTCCATCATTCTTGAAAATATGGCAGGTATTGCAGGACTATCAGGTGTTGATACAGGTCCCTGTGGAGAAATCAAATAGTACATGTGGATCCTCCCCGTGAAAATAAGTGATCTTGACAAAGTAGGCGAATTTCGGGGCCCCAATTTCGTTCGGTGTAATTAGCGCCATTTTGGAATTTGTTTTAATATTTCAACTTTTATAATGCCCAAGCAAAATGCAAATTCTCTCATTATTGTGGTGAGTAATCAATTTATTTATAGAATTACTTCTTGAATTGAATATTCCTCTAATACTGTTAAGTACTTTCATCATTTTTGACTGAAAATAAGATGAAGAAAGCCCGAGTGTAAAAAACGATTGATTTTATTTTCTGAAAAATATCAGACATTCAAAAGAATCTGGGGCACGGATTTGAGTAATCGTTCTGCGAAGGATAGTATCAACAAGCAACAGGATTGGGAACAGAAATGAGAAAAATTACCTTTTTTCCTGAATCTTACCTAAATTTAGGTCAGCTTGGGGACCATAGGCCAAGGGAAAAGTAATAGCATGGGCTTTCAACTAGAAGGGTATGCAACTCTATGTAATAACATGAGACCTTCAAAATGAACAATGACATGCTTCCCTTTCATGGCAATATTTCAAAAAGTATTAGATAAATGTATATGTTTTAGTATTAATTTGAATAAAAATCAATTTCTAATATGATTTAAGCATAAAATATATTCAATATCATATAAAAGTAAACAATAGAGACCAATAAGAATAAGAGTTATCAAGATGTTCTCTTTGAGTACTGCATTGTGGGTAATTATTCAAGAACACATTCCAATAAAAACATAATTTGTGGGAGAATGTTCACTTTCTGTATTGTCATAATTATGATGAATTCCAATTTTTATTAAATTATCAAGATGTATGTAGAAGATCATGTTTTTATTTTTGAGTTATTTCTTTTAAACATCAATAAAAAGTACAAAATAAGATTTTCTTGGAATGTGTACATTCTCCAATTTTGAAAACCCATGGCAATGTTTATGTATGAAATATGGGAAGTTGCCTACCCTTCTAGTTGAAAGCCCATGGTAATAGTAAGCTGTATAGAAGAGCTCCTATACGGCTTACTATTACTTTACCCTTGGCCTATGTTGGGGACTGTAACTTGCACAGCTGTGTTGAGTAGAGTCTTGTATCCTGCAATATGCCTCAATTTTATAGTTGTTTTTAACATGATTTCACTGTTTTCTGTGGACCGATAAGATCTTGAAACGCAAATGGCACGATGGATGACTCTTACCTGTAAAGCGCGGGGAACCAAAATAAACCTCAACCATCAAAAGTTGTCACAGTTTCGTGTCTCAAACACTCCCAAGGCCAAGCGGAAGAAAAATAATTCCTGTTCACTTTAAGTAGCACAATAAATGAATCCAAAGCTTCATACCTACAAATGATGGATAAATCCCTACCAAATCGAACAAATCTATTCATGAATCGCTATGTTTGTCATCCAAGGAGGATTGACTCCCAGAATGCAACATCAGTTAACCTTATTTACTTGTGACAGGTTTCAAAATGGCGGAATGGCATTTTGAAAGCTGGCACGGGTCATGTTGCATTCTTGGAGCCAATCCTCCCTGCGGCGTAATCAGGCTCCAAAATCACCTCAACATTTGAAGAGTTGGCATTAACATGTGACTATCCCCTTCAACTTCTTATGTTCTTATTTGTCGATGGACACAAATTCCACTATATTTTGACTTACAAGGACAAAGAAAATAGAGCACTGAAGACGAGATGAATAAATGATGCAATAGTGATAAATAACCCAACAAGAGTTGGTGGTCTTGGAATGGACTTGAATCCTGTTGCCAATCCTTTTGCTTGTTGTTACTATCCTTCGCAGAACGATTACTCCTATCCACGATCTGGGGGTTGTACTAAATACCACCCAGGTGGTGGACACCTAAATGTCCCCATTGAGGACTTTTAGATTTGAAAATTGTTATAACTATTTTTAAATGTCTTATCACATCCGTACAAAATGATGAAGTTAAAATATAACTGCAGAATATTAACATCAAAACATTGAAACATTGAATGATACACGTAACAAAATTGGAAGTTTACATTTCTCAATCAATATGAAATTCGAGAAAATTAACCAGCTTTGTGGAATCAAAAATCAAGTTATTTTGGCTGTTCTATTACTCTGCCTCCTATTTATACCCCATGTCACTCTTTAAATGGAATAAGATTTCATCTTTCCAGATCAGTTTTCCACACTGATTGTGAAAAAATCTGCATGAAATCACAATGAGACGCTCAGCTGCACCTAGCCAGTTAGGGAATGCTGCCAAGAAAAGACGCTTCACCACTCCTTTTTTATCTGTCCGTGAAAATCAGCAGGATGGGGTCCCAACAACAGGAAATGATGTCAGAGCAGATAACACAGCGGTTGACACTGAAAATAAGGTACATGTTAATGTTTTGTTTTTCAATCTGACATTTCAAAATTGGTGCATCATAGCACATAGATGGGGTTACCTCAGCTCCAATGAGCAACACAGTTGGTGTTTGGCCCATCTATCTCAGATATATTGACAAAGGCCTAAAGGTGCATCTATCGCATTGCATTTGCTAATGATCTTACCTTGGACCTGTGGCCTGGCAGCACTTGGTTGCAAACCACCTTGAGTTACTGGAGATTTGAATGAACACATTTTACTAGCCTGGGGAGTTCCTCGAATTCTAATACACCTGTCTAAAATCCCTACTATTGTATCCTACTAGTACATTATCAACTTAATTTTGAAAAATACACCTCACCCGCACATTATTGTACATGTGTTTTGAGCTATTGTAATAAGATAAAGTGTAAAACTAATTGATTAATTGAAAGCTTCATAATACACCAATATACATTCAAAGGTAATGTGTCAGATCCCCCAGTCACCAATGCTTGGCGTATAAGTTGAACTATGTAAAATGCAAGAGTAACTGAGTAACCCTTTGCAATTGCAAAATTGGTAAAAAATGCTTCAAAGCATGTAATACTTGGCTCAATCTAAGAGTGTGAGTGGCCAAAATAACTACTTGGTAAACTATAGGTAGCTTTTCTTTAAAATCAGGTAGTTATTAACTGCCATAGCAACGCGAGTTTCGAGCCCTGGGATGGGAATTTTGGCAAATGTACTTAGTCCAAGTTCCAGAATTAAGGACTTTTGAAATGAATATGCCGAGTAATGAGAATTTTGACTATATTTAACAAGCCAATCTGAATTTTCCTATAGTTTAGAAATTTTAATAAACTTATATTAGACTAAGTGTACAATTTTTATGTTTTTTTAGAGTCAGTGTATTATCAAATTGTAAATGATTACATAGTCATTCTAAATGATCTTATTTTTCATTTCAGGATAAATCTCATAATTCTGAGCGAAGCAAAACTGAGATTCTATCCCTGATCAAAAAATCTCCATTATGTACAAAGCCACTGAACAGCAGCGTTTTAAGGCCTACACATAGAACACAACAGAACAATCAAGTACCATCATCGAAAAATACGTTACAATACAAAAAACATCTTGAATTGACAGAAAATATTGAGAAACTGGAAAAGGAAAGAGTTTGTGAAGCTATCAACGATGTCGTTGATGATGACACAACACCACCTGATGAGCAAGATGACATAAACTCTAAAGAAGATTTAACTGATACCAACAGTGCAAAGAATAATGCTGGTGCTCATATAGGTAGCTTTGATATAGTTGATTCAGAATTTCTTGATGATCCCCCAGATATTTTAACTCCAGATATTTCAAACTCAGATATTTCAAAAACAGAATTAAAACCTATTGGTTTATTAACTGATGACTTTGACCATCTAAATAAGTTGCCAAGTGATTCTCCATATGTCAGTGATAAAAATGGAAATACATTTGTCCAAAATGGAATCCCTCATCTGCCAAACCAAAAGCCATCACGTGAAAATAACATTATTGCCCTCAATGAAAACAACATTGGTCTAACAGTGGATCAATCTAGTCAAAATGACCATTATATGCCAAGGAATGACACAATGGATTCTAGTGACTCTAATACTAACAACAATGAAGCTGGGACATATCAAAGGACAATAAATAACATAGAAAATCACACTACAACTGCTAATTCAAATATTCAATCAGCAATGAAGAAGCCAAGTTTTGGAGTAAAACATGGATTGACATCTAAGCCTAAAGATGGACCAAGGGCCGTCAGACCAGGGGCCAATGTTGTAGCAGAAGTCAATGTAGGACCAGGGGCTAATGTTAGACCAGGAGCCAATGCTGAACCAGTGGCCACTGCTGAACAAGGAGCAAAGTATTTTAATGTTATGTGGTGCAAACGTTCAAATAAGAAACACAAAAAATGGGAAGGGGATGGTAGGTGGACTCATTTGTTTTACATTTTCAAAGCCTCGCTAATAAATAGGTGTTTTAATATATATTGAAGGACATGTACCTATATTATTATGGATATTTAAAGCCTATTGTTAATGCAGACAAAAACTCAGACATCAATTTTTAATTTTTAAAGTACATGAATTTAATACTGATGCAAAGTACCAATACAAGATGGTTATTTTAAATAGTTGGAAAAATATTTATTTTGGATCTATTGCTATGATATCTTACAAAAATCCAAGCATGGTGTAACAATTCATGAATTAAAGTTGCAAAACACAGATAAAGTTATTTCAAAGAGGATTTAATTATTTATTTCAGCCATCTTACAGGCAAAGGGAAGAAGTGTTAGTCTGTTTGATATGGAAGGAAAAGAGTAAGTCATGGCTTCTTAATTAAAGAATAGATATTTTCTCCCATGCTGGGATGAAAATCACTCTTCAACATTATCAATAACTTTAAGTGCCTTCTACATATTGATTTGCAATAAGACCAAGGTTTGCGAGGATTTTGCATAAAAATTGAGATTTGTGAAAATTTGTCATAAGAGCTATCAAGAAGGTAATGAAATATTTTGTTTTTGCGATTTTTGTATCAATTCCAGTAATAAACTACAAATTTCTTGCTTTTTGCTTTTTTGCGCCAGATTGGGAATTTTGCGACCTGATTTTACGAAATCACATTGTGATCACAGAAATGCAATTATGGATAATCCAAATGTATTTTAGGATAGGCAAGGCCACTGGTTATAAGATCGCTGAGTTGCAGAACTTGACTGAAGGAGAAACTTTACCCATTGGGGGCAAACAAATTGAGGTAGGTTTTTCATCAACCCTTAGCAGTCCTGGCCATGTCGTTTGATTTCCTCAATTGTATAGTTTCTAAATAGCTGTATAACGCTGACATAATATATGTCACCCTTGTTTGTCTTTGTTTTTCTTGGGCCACACCTCCATTCACTTCAATGCTAGAAACTTGCAATAGTCACTTAATTTCTTGATTTATCAAAAAGTGTTGGTTGAATCTGTCTGAAACTCGAATGGCATACTATCGGATGGCACTGTCAATGCACATATTGTGATTAAACATGAAAATGTTAGTTGTCATTCAAATAAGCCAAGGTTTTAATGAATCTTAGCATTGCACCAATGGAGATTTGGCCTGAGTTTTTTTAAATGTCATGGAAAATGATTTAAATGACATAACTGTGTAAATCAAACTTATTATTGGAGAAAACTTGTCACTGAATTCAAATATGCTATCAAAAATAAAGAAAAGTAAGTCATTAGAGGTAAAAAGTGCAAATCTCATGAAAAAACGAGAATTAGTGAGATTTTAAAGCTATTTAGAAACTCCTCTATTGGCACATGATATAAAAACATGAGTAGTGTTCTCTAGTGTTCTCTCCAATGTTTACGTAAATGGCTGAAAACTGTTGCTCAAAATATGATAATATTTTATATTCTTTAATTTCCATCCTCCTAAGCAGATGTACAGAATCTGTATCTCCTTCTTCCCCCCTGCTATAACCAATTTGAAAGTGTCCGATTAAACTTGAGTCACGTGATCTAATTATGCACCGATGACATCTACATGATTGCTGTCGCAACATAGACTATATGTGTTGCGACAGCGAATCAAATTGCGAGTTCTTAATCGGGGAAATGCTAACTGCTTATAGCAGGGTGTAAAAAGAAAGAAGATATTCTGGATTTTGAAGCCCTGTGATCGGAGGATGTTAATTTCAAGTGGGTGCAATTGTTGTCACGTGGTGCACTTATTTTTAAAATCTCCAGTGAGTGTGCGCCAACTTGCTTCTGTGAGATTATGGAGATCACCAAGAGAATTATGTATTTGAGGAAAAGCAAAATAGAGTGCCTTAAATTCTTACTTCAAAGAATTTATAGATAACAAATCTGAAATTTCTCATTTTCAGGAGATTAGGTATGGAAAAGCAAAATAGAGTGTCTCTAATTCTTGCTTCAAAGAATTTATAAATAACGAACCTGAAATATCTTATTTTTCAGGTGATGGGGTATGTGACTCCAGAGCAGTTTTCCAGTGGAAAATGCTTCACATCTGCTGGCCAAGTTGAAATACAGCAAGAAGTAAATCCAAAACCCAAAAGTGAGTTAGGCTTTAATTGAAAATTAAGATTAAGTTCCACACTTTCACTACCTTTCTTAGGTCTAAAGATTTATATCCCCACCTGAACAATTAAGATTAGAAAATTATAAATCTGTGTCAAATATGCTTGGTATGAAAAAGTGTGATTCTCAATATGGTATCTCTCAATATGGCATCTCTCAAGATGGCATGTCTTTCAATATGGCATCTCCTTCTCAATATGGCATATCTTTCTCAATATGGCAGCTCCTCAATATGGCAGCTCCTCAATATGGCAACTCTCTCAATATGGCATATTTCTCTCAATATGGCATCTCTTTCTCATTATGGCATCTCTTTTTCAATATGGCATCTCCTTCTCAATATGGCATCTCTTTCTCAATATGGCATCTCTTTCTCAATATGGCATCTTTCTCTCAATATAGCATCTCTTTCTTAATATGGCATCTCTCTCAATATGGTATCTATGTCTCTATATGGCATCTTATCAATATGGCATCTCTCTCAGTATGGTATCTCCTTCTCATTATGGCATCTCCTTCTCAATATGGCATCTCTCTCAATATGGCACATTTCCCTCAATATGGCATCTTTTTCTCAATATGGCATCTCTTTCTCAATGTGGCATCTCTATCAATATGGCATCTATTTCTCTTTGGCATCTTATCAATATGGCATCTCTTTATTGCAGGTTTTAAACCATTTGTGAAGCCCACAAAACTTCACACCAATGGTGGCAACCCATTACACAGGGCTAAGATAGTGAAAGTGAGTGGTCCAAGGTTTGACCCCACTATGGTTGATGCTCTAGTCATGCCCCGTCCAAATCAGGCACATCAGGTAAGGCCAGATGAAGTTAGGTCATGGTTAGGCCAGTCAAAGTTAATTATATACTTAATATTCTGTTGAGTGGCCTATCTTTTTAGTTAAAAAAAACAGAAGAAATTAATTGAAAAAACAAATTCGTTCATCTTATGTATTTTCATAGCCTCAAAAACTTAAAACATGAGTGCCTGATATAATGTCACACTTTTACGATCTAAGTTAGTGAAGAAAATACTGATGCTAAAATACATGAATTTGATCCTTTCACTGTTTACATTATATTTTACTTGAATATATATATAATTTTAATTATGATTCACCATTATCACTGTATAGTGGCAGTTGAATAAAGAGGGGCTAGCAGTCATCGATGTTGTCGTCGATCCATACATCTCGACCCATTTACGTCCACATCAGCGAGATGGAGTCGTATTTCTCTATGAGTGCATTATGGGATTCAGAAACTTTCATGGAAATGGTGCAATTTTGGCGTAAGTACAGGAACAATTAATTTTATTGCTCAAATGAAAAATTTTTTTTGTAAAGAAGCAAAAATACGTAGTGGGATAAATCTACTTAGCTTTAGGATAACTATAGTTTTCATTGGGGATGAAGATGTCGAGAGAGGAGGGAATTACACAGAATTCAGAGATGGACTTAATCTTCATGTAAAGAGGTTCATTTTTCCCTGATGAATTCTGGGTTATTCCCCCATAACTTATTCTACAGCTTTTCTAAAATTAAATAGATGATGGGTCCAATGGTCCTTGGAGTAAGTTTTTATGCAATTTTTAGTGTGTGAGCATTGTTGCACAGCTGGACCCTCTGAACCAATATCTACATGTATGTAACGTTTGAGCTTAAGAAAAACCTATTTGGAAGAAAGATACAATATATTTTACAACCTGAACATAATTTTGGTTGCCTTTATTATTTTTCAGAGATGATATGGGGCTAGGCAAAACATTACAATGTATCTCACTGGTTTGGTAAGTTACTCCTTATATGGTAAATTTCTCCTTATATGGTAGGTATATTGTTATATGGGAAGTATCTCCTTATCTGGAAGAAGTTATTGAAACATTCTAGCATATTATACACTATAAAATGCTTGTTTTCTTCTTTAAACATTTTTTAAGATTCTTGCTCTGTATATTACAGGACACTGCTTAAACAGGGACCATATGGAGGAAAGGCAGTCCTGAAGAAAATCCTAATTGTCACTCCTGGTAGCTTGGTGAAGGTGAGTAGGCTAAAAAAGAGGGAACTTTCAAATACAATTTATTACCCCATCAAGGGGGATATAGAGAAGCCATTCATCCATTCGTTCATCACTTCAGGCAGTAACTCAAATACCAGTTTAATTCAAATTTATTAGCTGATGCTTTATGGGGATAGGACCTCAAGAAGGATTTTTTTAAAAATGAGAATATTTGAGCGGGAGTATTTGATATAGTCTATGAAATACAGGTGCTGCCCTCTTTCTTTTCATAAAAGAACTCACTTTTATTTCTATGAATATATTTTGTAGAATTGGATGCGGGAGTTTAAGAAATGGTTAGGAACTGAGAGAATTCAGGTGTTTACTGTTGACCAGGACAACAAAGTTCAGGTAAGGCTTATACAAAGTTAAGGTCTGTAACAAAGTTCAAGTTAGGCTTATACAAAGTTCAGTCCTGTCACAAAGTTCAGGGAAGGCTTAATACAAAGTTCAGGCCTGTAACAAAGTTCAGGTAAGGCCTATACAAAATTCAGCCCTGTAACAAAGCTCAAGTTAGGTTTATACAAAGTTCAGTCCTGTCACAAAGTTCAGGGAAGGCTTATACAGTTGTACAAAGTTAAGGGCAAACAATTGATAAGTCTCTGGTAAGACTTCAATATTTTGGGGATATGAGTTCAGATAAAGCTTTGTTCAGACACCATTTGCAAAGTTTAAGTAAGACTTCTCTCAACTGTTGTGTTTACCCATTGCCCCATGTTGAGGCTTACAATTAGAAATAATGTTTAAGTAAAGATGGCAGAAAAGTGCAATCAGATAATTTGTTAACACTGCTGCCATCTTTATATCATTCTAAAATCTATTAGAGGATAAAAGTCAGTGTGGTATCTATGTAATGTATTGACGGTAATATCTCATCTCATGTGATATGTTTGTATGGCCCTTCCTGTATTTTAGGAATATATTGAAGTACACCCAGTGAATATGAGATATTTATTCCATCCCTCTTGTATTTCCAGGAGTTTATTAAATGTGGTATCCACCCCGTGATGATTATTTCATATGAGATGTTTATACGGTCCCTCGAAAGTCTCAAAGCTGTGACATTTGATCTAGTCATATGTGATGAAGGACATAGACTGAAGAATACAACTATTAAAACCACATCAGTGAGTATACAGTGCATGTATATTATCAGTCAAGTATCCTATGATTTATAAAATTTGAATATACAGTGTAGAGAACATTTTGAATTTACAGCATTGAGACAACGTCAGAGAATTCCGCGGAGATTGACTTAAATAGTTGATTCTGCAATTCCGAGGGCAAAGGCAAATTCTGTCCGCTCTCTGCAAACACGGAATCCTGGGGGCAGTGGAATGTTGAGCTTCAGAGGATTAATTCATCCAAATTCCAATGTAATTTGGTCATTTGGATCAATCTTGGGATGAATCTTTGGATAAATCCTAGTTCGTACCAATTTACCAAATATTAATCCAGATCAATATTAAAAAAATTATCCTTATTTATTCAGATAAATTCTTGGATTGTACCAATTCATGGCTCCAGAGGATTATTCTACACATTCGCTTCATCTTAATTTAACTTGTAACTTTAACCTTCTAGTGCTGTCCCTAGGTCTGATTTCGTTACTCGGCTCGGAAAAAAGGCTTGTGGGTATCATTTTGTTCCAGACACTCTGTAGAATAAATTCATCTTGGGTGGAGTAAAAATGTGTGGTAAACGAATTCGCTATGGGCAGTTAAAGAGGCGCCATCTATTCATTTTCAAACAGGGGGTAGGGGTATAAAATAATTTTTTAACACATTTTAATAGTAAAATGACATTGAAATACTAATAAAATCTTATCAAAAACATTATTTACAATCAGTATGAATTTTCTTGTGTGTATTAGGGTGAAAAAAGGGGATATCTTGAAATTCACTACAGGGGCGCCACCTATTTTCGTACTTCTACCATGTGTAATAACTTATTTTAGATTCGTTAAGGTACAAAATGAACTGAAAAAAATTCATTTTGAAGGACCTATATATGTTCATACCACATACTTAAAATGAGATCAATAGCTTTTGTACCTTCGGAGAAAAAAATTATTGAAATTTAAAATTGTGGCATCATTCAGGATAGGGGTGACCATATCTCATATTATTAACTTCCAAAATATGGAGCATATGTATCTCAAATATGCTCAAAATGGTGTATATAGTCTTGCCTTGTCATAATATTACTAATAATATGTAGAAAAATGATTGTACATTTTAAAAAATATTAATTTTCATTTTAGCTTCTGACGTTCCAGGGGTGACCATATCTCACCTTAATAATTTCCAAAATATGGAGCATATGTATCTCAAATGTGCTCAAAATGGTGTATATAATCTTGTCTCGTCATAATATTACTAATAAGATGTAGGAAAATGATTGTACATTTAAAAAAATATTGATTCTCATTTTGGCTTCTGACGTCCCAGGGGTGACCATATCTCACCTTAATAACTTCCAAAATATGGAGCATATGTATCTCAAATGTACTCAAAATGGTGTATGTACTCTTGCTTTGTCATAATATTATACTAATAAGATGTAGGAATATGATTATACATTTAAAAAATGTTAATTTTAATTTTAGCTTCTGACGTCCCTCAATACCTTCTAAAATTATGTAACATATACAACTCAAATATACCAAAAATGGGGCATATGGTCTTGCTTTGTCATAATATTATTCATGAGATGTAGAAAAAATTATTACACCTTTTTTGAATTGAAATTTTCATTTTAGCTTCCGAATCTGACATCCCAGGGGCAACTATATCTCACCTTGATATAACTCTCACAGTATGCAACATATGCATCTCAAATGCTAGTTCAACAAGTTAAACCCAATACCAAGGCTTTCATTTTTTAATCTGAATGTTCGTGTTGCCGTGGTTGGGTTTAACTTCCGTGCTATGCTTTCATTTGTTGCAAATTCTCACCATCAGTTATAAATTAAACGCATATGGAATTTCATGCGCTACCATAGGCCACCATTAAATTTGTTTGCATCAAGGGCCGAATAGGCACGGAAGTTAAACCTAGGGTGGGCCACAAGATATGTCAGATAAGAAATAAGGCCCAGACTAGGTTTAACTTGTTGAACTACTCAAATGCGTGCCCAAAATGGTATAAATATAGTCTTGTTTTGTCATATTTATTGAGATTCATAAAATCAGAAGTTCAGAATTTATGGATTTGACTGTCTCCCCTGAAGGATGCAGCTACATATAGCCCAGAGACAATAAGATCTACTTTCAAATATTTGCATCTTCTCCCTAAACACTCCTTATATTACAGGAACAATGGACGATAAGTCTTTTGCATGCCTTGGATGCAAGATCTTTTGTATACTTGTAGCCTATCAGTAGTGTGAGTAGCCTAGCCTCATTTACCAAAATTGGCCCCTTAACCCCAAATCTGACCCGAAATTTTGAAAATATCCTGAAAAATTAGGCCTTAAAGGCGCATTTATGCCCAAACATATACCAAACTGTCCCACTGGTAAATTACAAGGGCGATAAGTTGCTTCTAATCCCGATTGACATTCTCTAGTGTGCATGTTTTGTCATATACCAGAATTACAAATGACTTTATAACTGCAATGTCTCTCATTCTATCGTACATGTATCAGAAGAAATCCAGATCAGAAATCGGATGATTTAGAACAGTATTAGAATGCAGATATGGCATCACATGCAATGATTGCATAAGGAAAGGGCTAAAAGGATTCCTGTATGGATTAATTACAAAAGATGTTTGGTCCAAGTTATGCAAGGGAATAATCTCATCCATTGTACCTGTAAGGGGTGTTTGGGGAGCAGATGCAAATATTTGAAAGCGGATATTATTTGCCCTGAATTATATGTAGCTGTAGAGGAGACAGTCAAAATCCATTGATTCTGAACTGTTGATTTTATGATTCTAAATAAATATGACAAAACAAGACTATATTTATACCATTTTGAGCACACATTTGAGATGCATAAGTTGCATATCGTGAGAGTTATCAAGGTGGGACACCAGAGGCAAAAAAATGCAATCATTTTTCTACATTTCATTAGTAATATGAAAGACAAAACTTTCCTGAGAATATTTTAGGGACATTTGGGATACATATGCTCCATAGTTTGGAAGTTATTAAGGTGAGATATGGTCACCCCTGGGACGTCAGAAGCCAAAATGAGAATAAATAATTTCTAAAATGTACAATCATTTTTCTACTTCTTATTACTAATATTATGACAAAGCAAGAGTACATACACCATTTTGAGCACATTTGAGATACATATGCTCAATATTTTAGAAGTTATTAAGGTGAGATATGGTCACCCCTGGGACGTCAGAAGCCAAAATGAGAATTAATATTTTTTTAAATGTACAATCATTTTCTTACTTCTTATTACTAATATTATGACAAAGCAAGAGTACATACAACATTTTGAGCACATTTGAGATACATATGCTCCATATTTTGGAAGTTAATAATGTGAGATATGGTCACCCCTATCCTGCATGATACCACAATTTTAAATTTCAATAATTCTTTTCTCCGCCGGTACATAAGCTATTGATCTAATTTTGAGTATGTGGTATGAACATATATAGGTCCTTCAGAATGAATTTTTGCAGTAGATTTCGTACCTTAACGAATCTAAAATAAGTTATTACACGTGGTAGAAGTACCAAAATAGGTGGCGCCCCTGTAGTGAATTTCAAGATATGCCCTTATTTTCACCCTAATCCACACAAAAAAATTCATACTGATTGTAAATAATGTTTTTGATAAGATTTTATTAGTATTTCAATGTCATTTTACTATTAAAATGTGTTAAAAAATTATTTTATACCCCTACCCCCTGTTTGAAAATGAATAGATGGCGCCGCTTTAACTGCCCATAGCGAATTCGTTTACCACACATTTTTACTCCACCCAAGATGAATTTATTCTAGAGAGTGTCTGGAACAAAATGATACCCACAAACCTTTTTTCCGAGCCGAGTAACGAAATCAGACCTAGGGACAGCACTATTCCTGTTATAAGGCATTAACACTAATGGTAAACAGCATATTTGAATAAAAGAATTGAATGTCACACATTTCTAATGCTTACAGTCTAAACTATGAAATCTATATGACTGTTCAGTTTTCAATAATTTCAGTTCAGTTATTTAGGGTATTTAGTTTGTCATTAACACCATTGTCCTAATAAGGCTTGAATGTTTCCACTCTAATTCAATTTGCTTTAATATCTTATGTTCTAATGCCTGAATCGACCACTCCTTTACTCTTCCAATGTCATTAAGAAAAGAATGTAGTATGTCAGTGTCTGGGATATTAAAAGGGAATGTTGGGTCTACAAGTCTTATCCACCAGGTAGTGTCTGGAGAATGCCTCACATGCTGTATCAGCCACATTAGGAGTAGAACATAGATAACACTTAAATGTCTTATCTGTAGCCTTCTCTGTGTAAAAATGATATCTGATATGGATTTTACAGGGTATCTTTGTATTATGACAAACCTGTTCTGATCATAATCTATTAATTCCCCATCCTTGGACATAAGCCTCAAAACATTCATGAGACATTCCCCAAGATTGTCTGTCTGGCAGGTTTGCTGGTGATGTAGAAGGATAGTCTTGAGAGTGTATGATGATAGGAGTGTTTTTCGCGAGCTGCTTGGTTCGACTGGTAAAGCGGCTACATATTTCAATACAAGAAAAAGTTGTTTGTGAGATGGTGTCAGAAAGTATATGTTGTTGGCAGGAGGATCTACAACAGACTCCATCCAATGATCCATATTACATAAATCACACGACATGTTTTTCCCACCCAATGAAACACACCGTCCTAACTGGCATGACTTGTATTCCATACAGAAACACAGGTCTATGTCAATCATGCACAATGGACCACCAACACGTAGCCACACACTTGGGCCATGTAGTTCATGATGTATGCTTATGTCGTTAAGCATGTAAGGATTATCAGGGATGTTTCTATGATCTCTCTCTCCAATGAAATATACATCTTTCATACTCTCGAGTGCTTTCTTAACAGCTAATCGCAATTTTTCAGTGAGATTTCCAGATTGAAGAAAGCTGTTTGTAT